TTCTTATTTAATTAATTAAATATTTAAATTAATTATTCAAGTTAATATTTTAATATTGAGATTTTCATCTAAAAAATAATCTTAGGAATTTGTAAAGCTTATGTCGCAATATTTGGTTTATGATCTCGGACGCAGAGAAATGACCAATTGCATTTGAATAATTCGGACAATTGGCCAATGTGATTGGTCAATTTTCTTTTCGTCTGAGAATTTGGATCAATTTTTAGCATTGTGGACACAAGAATTAACGGTTGTCACGAAAAATTTAAGACACTCTTGATTGTAGAAATGTGATTACTATTATTATTATTATTACATTATTACATTATATTATACATTACTCCATTATTATTATTCTATAGTCAAAGGAGATATCCTATATATGTGTACCTGTTCTTCGCTGCCCGGCGCAGCCAACCGGTGGCGGCGTGCGTCTTTCGACAAAGCGTTGCGCATGCGCCGACGGCACTCGAATCGTCGTGCGCGAGAGGCTGCTACACGAATATTTGAAAAGTGCGACTGTATCGCGTGCCGGAGGGTCGGTGTTCTCGCGCTCGCTCCGATCGTTCGGTGGTTTCTGGTGGTTTCTCGGTGTTTCTTCTCGTCGCGTCACATCGCAACATCGCGTCGCGTCGCGTCGCGTCGCGCTGCATCGCATCGCACCGCGTCGCATCTCGTCTCTTCTCGCGAGTGTGGCATGCGAGGAAGCGCGCTGCTGGCAGTTTACCCGCGTCGCCCACGAACGACGGAGGATTATGCTCGATGAGCCGCTGTGACGCCCCGACGGAACGACGATGCAACGAAGTGGTAAGTGAAGCGAGAAGCGTCTTTTGTCCTTCCTCCGTCGCAGCCCTCCGCCCTTCCTCCCGCGCGGTCCCCCCCTTTCACCTGTCGGCGGCGCGAGACGATGCCGACCATTTTGGGAGCCACCAAATTTCGTCGTCGTCGTCGTCAATACGGCACGACTGGTCGATACCGACCTCGGACCGACCTAACCTACCAATTTAAACGCTTAATGGTCACTCCCCCCTACCCTGCCCCGCTACTGTCCTCGACAGCTTCGATTAATTAGATCTCGTCAACGCGCTTTGCTTTTTTCGTCCCACTTCCGCGTAACAGCTTTGACCGCGGTACGAATTAATTAAGAAGAACTGACCAATTTGAAGTTTACTAGTCTCCTATGTCATCAGTTTGTTTGTGTCTACCTCGTATTTCATTACAGAGGGCAGACTGAATTTATATTCTGTTGATGTTTATTGATGTAATTGATTTAATTGAACCAGGTTGTATATACTAGAGTTTGTACTTTCGGATATTGTCTCGTATATTTTTCTCGCGTCGTATAGCATGATTGTTTTTAACAGGTGTCTGACTTTTGGGGACCATCTTTATTCATTCGCGTGGCTGTACATTACATATGTAATAATTATTCCTATTATTATCTGTCGCAAGCAAATTTCAATAATTTAACATAAAACATAAAAAAACATGCATCAATCGTTTCCTTGAATTAGCGTAATTTTTAATATAGATTTAGAAAGAGTTAGAATAATTTATTTATAATACGAAATAAAATAATAATAATTTTATAACAGTACGCTGCAACATTTTAAAAATGTAGCGCTCTGAAAAAATTGAAGCAACAAAAACTACAATCGAAGTTCAAGAACAGTAGCCATTTAATTATGTTTTAAGGGACAAAAATCATTTCTGTTTTATTTTTTCCATACAAAGATTTATATGCAAGCAAGAAGTTCCCATTTTCCAATATTATTTTAAGAGAAATTAAAAATCTTAAAAAAATTCAACGATAACTGCGAAGGCCAGAGATTTGAAGCAAACTGCGCACAACCTATATCGAAATTTGATTTTAAAGTAAAACTAGATTATTTTAAATACTTAGATATTCCAACTAGGTATTTCATTATCATGAAATCGATTTTTGTTGTCTGTTCCTAGTATATCGTCTGACCTCGCTTGTTCATGTTCGAAATAGTTATTCACACTATTTGCGCACTACGTCATCCGATTAGTTTCCCATTAAGATAAGATTGTATAGTCATAGCCTGTTGGTCCTGCATAGATAAAGCGCCGCTATTTTCATGGCCGCTTGTTCTCAACTTATAGTAAGAGATCAGACTAACAAAAGTTAGTCAGATTACAGTTCTACAGGAGAAAGGAGAGTAAGATAATAATTTTAAGATTGGCGATTTTTTCTTAATTTTTGTAAATGATGTAAAAAAAAATTGATTCTTTCACAGAAATCCTCACTTATCTACAAAAATCTACAAAAATTATAAAATTTAAAAATAAATAAATTAGAATTTTTGGAAATTTATATTTTTTAAGAATTTCATCATTTTATATCCATATCAGATAAGATGACTTTTTAGAAACGGATAAGATAAAGTTAAATTCGATTTAAAATAAACGGACTTTCTTACGAACAAAAAGATTTCTTAAAATAAATTTCTTATATTATTTTAATATAACAGTATTTCAATGTAATAAAAAAAATACATAAAATGCTATTCATGATTTGAAAAGAAATTAAAGTTATTAAGATATTCGTAAAACAATTACTTATATTAAGTATATAATTTAAAATAAAGTTAAATTAAACATAAAATAAAAATAATTTATGCATCATCTTGCTTATATTCATTCGTCTCACTTTTGTCATGATTAACATATTTATCGTATTTATCAAATACGAAAAAAGTTATATGTGCATTAAAAACAGATTTTTTTTACTTATTATTATTCATTATATTATTATTCATTTATTTATTATATCATTTTATTTATTCATTTTTATGATTAGATTAAAATCAAACTACAGAAATTATATATTATTTTTGAAAATCTTTAATGATATCAAATACTTATTCATACTTATAGCTCAATACTTATTAGCTTAAAAAAATTAGCTATTCGTTATCTTATCCACTTCGTCTTATCCACTTCTACTCCCCTTTTCTGTACTTGATATGTTCGGCCTATTTAATAATACATACAAAATTTTAGTATTATCTAATTTGTAACATGTGCGTTAGTTGTTAGTTGTTAGTTTATACAGCTATTATAAGATAAATACGATTTAACAAATAAATTCCCGACAAAAATAAACGATATCGACAAAACTATAAAATTGAAATATTTACGAAGGTTTCTTGTGTCTCGAATGAAAGCTCGAAAATAGAACCGGGAGAAATTCCGCATGGTTAAAGAATCAATTCTCCTGATCGATTAACGGGGAAGAATGCGAGAGGAGAATAGTAAGAGAGCGATGGTGGAAGGAAGAAGAGCAATAGAGGCGAGGATAGAAGAGAGCACTTCTTCGTCGCACGTGAGAGAAACTCCGGGCGATCGCGAATCGCCCGAGTCGACATGCCTTTAGTGCCACTCGCGTATCCGACACGCGAGCACGCGATCGTTCGCATATCTCGTTCTTCCGCATTGCACCACGGAGATAATCGTGACTTCATCGTGCTGCACGTGGCACACGAGTTAATCGCATCTCCGAGAGATCTCAGCGAGATCCATCGTGGCCGGAATAATTCGCGCCACGATTATCCGCGAAAATCCGCATTTTTTTCCCGGTCGCGAGAAACCGCCTCGAGTCAACGATGAATTATCTCAGAGTAGTTTTGTAGGTTCTCTTTTAGACTCGCGATTCTCCTTACCTTTCGAAATTTTCGACAAAGCGTTTAATTATTTACATCGTCAAATGGCACCGCACTGCGGATATTCTCGTCGACACCTCCTCGAGTCGCTATTTTAAATTGACATTTCTAATTGGCATTGCGTTGACATTAATCGCGCTTGTGTGACATTTAAATTCGCACGAGAGACTCTCGGTATTCACTGATTATTAATCAGCCGGTTCGCGCGTATCTGATACTTGAAATCCAATCTCGAAAATCCATATCTTTCGGAAAATCTATTTTGATCGATGGCCCTCGATGCAGTCCGTATAGTCAGTCACGCGATTCGCCGCGAAAGAATTTGACGATATCGAGCGAATAATCAGGATGGAAGCTTCCACGATCGCTCTGCAAGACGCACGTAAGATCCAGTTCTATGCATAATCTCTTCCTTGTTTCTTTTTTATTTTACCATTATAACTGTTTTGATAATTTTCCTATTTTTATTATTATTCCAACGTTATAAATATTGCCACCTGAAATGGGAAAAAATTCTTCGATTTGCTTCTCTAAAGAGGATTTATTTAATCTTTTTAAAAAGAAAATATAAATCAATCCGTGTCTCTATTTTTATTATCAAATTCGAACTTTCGAAAGAGTTGGAGAAAAATTTTTCGAGGTTTGTTTTTCTAAAGAGGATTTATTTAATTTTTGAAAAGGATAATATAAATCAGAATACGTGACTCTATTTTTATTATCAACGTAAAGTTGTAATAATTATTCATTGTTTCAACAATAATATAAATATAACTTAAGAGACTTATTAGTGATCAATCAGTTGCGTTTTAAATTTATTAATACTTTAAAAACATTTAATTAAAATGAATCGATAATATATGTATTTTATATGTATTTTAAGCAGTAGCGACAAATTTAAGACAATTTTAAGCAATAATAGCGACAAACAGTTACGATAAAAAAAAAAAGAAAAAATTCGTTAAATATACGCATGCAGAACATTCAGAATATAGATAATTCTAACATAACTTTTCTCTTCCTTTCCCTCCTCGTGTCCCACGCGATCCTTGCGTCTTATCGTCCTTGTTCCTTATCGTCCTTATCGCGGCGCTTGCCTCCTCCTTCTCCTCCTCTTCCTCCTTCTCTATCCTCTGTCCCATCCACATTTCTGATCTGTTTCCGGTGCTGTACGGATGCTGGACGACCGCATGGGCGATTCCGATGATGACGACGATGACAACTGCGACGACGTCACCGGCGTCACGGTCACCTCGAACACCACGGCAGCGGTGAGTCTCTCTCTCTGATAAAGCTAGTCGCATTCCGATCGTCGGAACGTGGAAGTCGGCTTCGTGTTCGTAATTTTAATACCGCGCCGCCTGAGTTCAGCGCGTTTGCACGGCGATCGCCTGAGGGAATTGTCGGCGCGAGACACTTTTTCACGAAATTAGAATATTAATTTTGCAAGTATCGTCGGAAGCATTTGGTGTATACAGTTTAGATGTGTTTACTCTAGTGTTTAATTAACTAATTGTTTAGAGAAAAGTTGTAAAAGGTATGTCAAAATTGAAAAATTATCTCCGCTTTTGTGATTTTCTGGAATTTCCACTCGGCGTTACGTAATATTTCTGTTTTTAAAACGTGTGAGAACAACATTAATTACAATTTGTTGCCAGACGTTTGCCAGACATTTAAATTCTCACTCCGCTCACTTTGCTTTCTGTTACGTCGTTTCTCTTCCACGTTACCACGCTATTATCTCTAAACCTGTATATTACCGACGTCCTTCTACGATTCTTGAAACTGGATAATGAAACTGGCATAAATTATATTTAACAAACTTGAGCTCGCGCACGCCCAACTAAGTATTTTAACTGTAAATACAATTATTTGCACGACTGACTGCACTTGACATTATTTCGATAATTTTGCGCAGCGCAGAATGTTATTCTCAACTTATCTTTTTACTTAGAAAAAGAGCTCAGCGATGTGAAAAGTTTCAGGTTTTTGACTTCGGTAGTTTTTAATTATCGAAGCGAGTGCTATATTAAATATGAAAGAGGAATATAGGAGAATTGAAAATTTTGTTCACGCGATTCTGATTTCACCGATTTCCAAACCGCAGAACGACGTCGATCGTTCCGGTTTCAAACGAGCCATATTACGACTTAAAGTCGTAAATAGATAAAAACCCTCCCGTTCTCCCGGATTTTTATCAGCCAATCCTGATTCGCTATCGGATTCTTCGACAATTTAGAACGATCGAACGGTGAGAGAATCGAGCTCGCTCTCGCGAGTGTTTGCGTTTCTGGGCTCGTTCCTGATAGCGTTCCTCGGTTGAACGATCGCGATTCCTCGTGTTACGTGTACACGGCGAATCGCTGTGCTACTCGCGCCGACAATCCGTGCTTGTGAAAGTGAGATCTCGCGGATCGAGTTGCAATTTGATCGGATAATAAACGTGCGTCGCGATGTCGACAACGGACACCCCGAAGGTGGCGTCGAGACGTCGCTTGAATCCGGCTGTTCTCGCCAGATACGATTGTCAGAAGAATCAGGAGTCTCAACAGGTAGCCGTGCATCATTCGCATCGTATAATAATCATAGTGATCATAATAATCATATAATGATCTCCATATAATGATATCACTTCCATTTTCTCACGAACGTGGATCTTCTTCTAATTTATAGAATTATATATATAGTTAGAAAGTGGGTTTAACTCAGAGATCTCTCAAGTCTCTCTTAATCTACATTGAAATGGGGATTGGTAGGTAAGTCTTGAAAGCCGTCGCGTAAATAAGTTTTCAGAATTGATCAATTCCGTGAAATAAAGAAATTAGAGATAATTGATGTAATAATGATAAGTTGGTAATATTAAAATTAAGAAAAATTTGCAAAAGAATTCAGTTTGGCTTATAAAGGATTTCAATAATGCTTAGAAACATTCAAAAAATGTTTCAGTAATCCAGATAGAATTCTAAGTGTTATGATTAAAATGTATCGCTATTTTTTTATTGAAAAATTGTTTGTTATATGTAAAATTTAGCAGCAACCGCTAACAGTATATGCAAGAAAATTTAGATCTCATAATCAAAATCACACAGTCACTTTTATGAGATGAGACTAGCTATTATTAGACTGGTCGCCACAGAGAGACGCTAATTTTGACAAATTGTGCAGATATCAATTTTGTCTATCATTTATATTGATTAGATACGAAACGTGCGATATCGTGGTAATTATTTATATATTTTAGTTAATTTTTCGTATTTAGATAATTTTTGATTGTAGGATCATTTTTTCATAAAGCTCGCGGAAAAAACGATTTTGCTGAAATATTTAAAAATTTAATTTAGATCATATTAAAATTATTATGTGAAATACTTAAACGGTGATTTAACATTGTAAAAACTTTTTATATTCTAGTAATCAATTTGAATATCCCATAAAATTATTTTTAATTTATGTTGTCAAACTTTCAGATATTTTTCTCTTTATGCGATTTTATGCGTAACTCATGTGAATTTTTCCAATAGGAAATTATAAATATCCGTGCATCTTTATTATGACTATGGTAACAATTTAATATATGAATTAACGCGGCTGCATAACTCAAAGAGATTGATGAAAGAATTATCCCGAGAAATCGGAGTTCGCAGCCGACTCCGAGTTGCAGGTCAAAACGATGCATTGTCGCGAACTGCATTCCGTTCGAGATCATTCTTTTATTCTCGTTTCGTTCTTCGGTACACGCACGCACGCACGCACGCACGCGCAGTCTCGACAGTTCGGTGCTCTTATTAACTCGAATTCCAATTAAGGCCGCGAAACGAAGCGATCTTCGCTGTGCGTACTTCCTAGTGGACGCGCTCGAATAACAAGCGTCGTCGAGACGAAGACAATCGCGATCGCGAAAGAACGTTGACATCGTGAAATCGAGAGAGCGGCGCGTATGGCGTGCTCGAATCACTTAGAGCTGATCGTCGCTTTAAGATATTCGTTGTTGTGCGTTGTGTGATCATTCTGCACGATCCGTTGGATTCCTTCGGTCCGTTGCTCTGATATGATCGACTAGTTTGCATGGAAGAAACGGATTTGGCTGGAGTATCTAAAAGTTTGGCCAAAAACAGATTTGAAAATAATTTGCATGATATGCAGCGAAATCTCTTGATTTTCTAGAAATTAATTTGAGTGTTCGATGTAATTACTTTGATCCTATAACATTTTTCGGGTTTTGAATCTGATCAAATTTTTAGATATTTAATAAAAATTTAGATTCAATAAAATTGTTCTTTCCATGTATCTTTCCGCAGTTGCAATTATATTAATATTTATATCTCCTGACTGATATCCTATTTTTATGTTTGAGTTTAAGTTTTATCTTTAAGTGTCTATTAAAAAATGGTACTTATAATATAAACGTTATCATTATCTTTAAATTTATTTTTCTGAGTCTTTATTGCTATAGTTTCCACATTAGTTATTTTTTTTTTTAAGTATAAATTTATAGTGCCCTTTGAACGTTTTAGAACTGAAAGAAAAATTATGAAATAAACCTGTTAAATTTGTTTTTTATGAATAAATTAGTTGTAAAATTTAATACACAATAATTAATAGTATTTAAAATCTCATTAAATGTTAATACATAATTCTGCAATCTTTTGACTACAGTAATTGTATTATACAATGTGTGTTAAATATCTCTAATTATACGATGTTGAATGCCTTGCGAAAACTGAATATTCAATTTAGAAAATTAAACGATTTATTTATTATGATAATCTTTAGTTGTCGGAAAGTAGGAGACTTATATCTCAACGGAATTAATTCTACAATACCAAATAGCTTTAAATCATTCATATAGTTGTATTTTTAGCTACGTTGCAAGTCCGTTAAAAAATAATGGTACGTGGTTGGCAACATAAGCAATTATCTTGAATTTATATACTTACAAATTAAAAAGAAACATTAAAAATAAGACTATTAGGCGCCTAAGATTCTACCGAATAATCTATCTATCATATATTCAATATTTTTAAGTTTTATATAATTTTCTCATCATAATTTAGCATAGTATTTTATTATTGTGCGATTTCTTTAATAAACCGCAGAAATCTATAATAAAATACTACAAAATTGAAAATTAATTATTCAGATGTCAAAGTCAGTGCTAGTTACACGTTACATAATTTTTTCAAATATCAGAAATTGAATTATAAAAGGTTAACAAGTATCTGTCAGTAAGTTAAAATCAAAATGATCGAATAAAAACAACATTCAAAGAAAATAGGGACATCTTTATTTTTTTTATAGAACGTAGAGATATACTTTATTATTTTCCCGAAAGAAAAGGAAACAATTCCTGAAATAGCGTTTACACAAGAATCGAACGAAAGCAAAAGTGCTCTCTCTCTCTCTTTCTCTCTCTCGTTCAAAGCCCTTTTGAAGGGCCGAAGGTAGAAGAGTAGTTCGGCGCGGCGCTGTAGTATCGACGCTCGATACCATTCGGCTTCGCTCGTGTGCCATCGCAGATGGACGCGCTGATTGGTCCTCGCGACTAGCCGATGGCGCTCGCGTCGTCCCAACCGACGACTGCGATTGGCGCCTGTGCGAGGCTCCTCTTTCTCTCTCTCTCTTTCTCTCTCGCTTTCTCCTTCCTCCTTACCTCTTTCCCTCCCCCGCACCCGCGGCAGCTGCGTCAGGCGTGGTCGTCGCAGTTCATTCGAGTCGGGCGCGGCGGAAGTTTCGTGCGTCTGTCGCGGTTCATCTCGAGAACGCGGTATTGTGAACCGTGGCGGTTCGCGTAGTGGATAGGTATATACGTGTTCACGCGACGCATTTTCTCTCTTCTCTTTCTCTCCCTGTCGCTTTAGCTCTCGCGCGACGAATCGCGCGCAAGTGAGAGTGAAAACGCGGCCACGCTCGCCGACGGCGTGAATCATCGACGACGCCGGCTTTTCGAGTCTCGAGGGGCCCACGCAGTGCGACGCGTCCCCCTTTTCCTTCTCGCTCCCTCTCGCGCGCGCATACTCCGATCCTATTTGTTTCTCGGCTTTGTGCATACATATCTCTATCTCTCTCATCACATATACATACATATATATATATATATATATATATATACACACACTACACTAACAATATATATATATATATATATATATA